TGAACAGACCAATAAACAAAGCAATGTGGAAACAGAGACAGTTGTAAAAACCAACATCCACCCATTGAGAGATCAAATATTACCAACCTACACCAAAAGAATATCAGATAATAGAGTTATTATGTCATTTAAAACAAAACAAGACGCAGAAGAAGCAGCACTAAAAATCCCAAAGATTACCAAAAGCTTAACAGCAAAGATAGCCCCAAAGAAAAGACCAAAAATAATCATAAAAGGAATACCTAAAGGAACACCAGATGAAACAATAATTCAGAACATCATTTACAATTATGAAAACAAAACAAGAACTTCTAATAACCTGATGAACATGTTTAACCAAAGAACACACCAGAATCAAACCATGCTGCCGAATCAGCTGTTGAATGACGTCACCAACGCATCATCCAGTCAGCCAGTCAACCAGTCACAGTCACACGCCAACAATGAACAAATGGAAACCAACGAAAACGATTACAGCGATAAAATCCAAATCAAATTCAGGCTAAGAATAAGGGAAAACGAGTTTAAAGAAAATATTATCATAGAGTTAGACCCAATAATATATCGAGTCCTAATCCAAGAAGAAAGAATATCTTTCGACTGGAATCGATATCGTATTGAAACTTACAAAAACATAGTACAATGTCTCAAATGTTGTAGATTTGGCCATTCATCCAAGTACTGCAACCCAGCAACACCAAAAGCCTGTTATAACTGCACTTCAGCTGAACACGAAGGAAGAGAATGTCCACATAAAGGAAAACCAGAGAAAGCCCAATGTACCAACTGCACCTTCAGAAATGAAAGATTCAAAACAAACCTCCCAACAAACCACATGGCAACAGCATCAGAATGCTCAATCAAGAAGGAACAAGAAGAAAGTAACCTCCGGAAAACCGACTTCGGTTTCTAAACATAAAAATAAAAAAGAACGAACAACTAGACTATTTATACATAACCCAAGTAAATTTACATAAGAGCCCCTCAGCCATGACCGAACTCATCAACCTAATGATAAAAAATAGAATACATTTAGCATTAGTTACGGAACCACCCATAAATCGTACAACAAATCAACCATACTCAATTTACTCACCATTTAAAGCACTTTTCACCGATGACCAATCTAAAATGGTCAGATCAATCATCCTACTCAACCCCATAATCCCTAATACCATCAACATAAAACTGGTACCAAACAAGACATCAAATGACTATGTAACGATCAACATCCAACTGGAAAACGACGAGGAATTATATGTTACATCAACCTATCTCGATCCCGCCATACCAATAGAGGACTTAAACAATCCAATCCAAACCATATCTAAATTCACCATCAGAAACTGGCTTCTCACAGGAGACTTCAACGCACAGAGTCCATTCTGGGGAAGTGAAACACTAAATAAAAAAGGGAAACAAATCACGGAGTTAATTCAAAACCAAGACATAATATCAGTAGTTTATAAGAACACACCAACATGCATTACAACTAGAGATAATGAAACCAGCTATTCAACCATAGACGCCACACTCATCTCAGAGAACTTGGCACATCGAATCACCGATTATGAGAACTCCCAATACAAGATTGCATCCACGGATCACACGACCATCTCATTTAAACTGCACCTGAAAATAAAAATAACAAAGCAAAGGCCTATTAGAAAGCGCCTAGATCATGAAAACATAGACTGGGAAACATTCCAGGCAAAACTCTCATCTAAACTGGAGAAGCAAAACATAAACAAACAAACCATGCTCGATATTAAAACAGCTGATAGCCTCAATTTAATCACCACAAAATTAACAATGGCCATAACGGAGTCAGCAAGAGCAGCTATTAAACGGGAAAAAAAGAAAAGCAAAGAGATTAAAAAACAACAATGGTGGTGGAATGACCAAATAGGCGAAATATCACAACAAATAATACAAACCAAAAGAAAAATGAAAAACTGTGGGTACTATAGGTACGAACAGCTGTTAGCAAAGAAGAAAGAGTTAACCAAAGAACTTATGTCAGCAATCCACAAAAGTAAAAACGAGCAATGGACCTCATTAATGCAGGGTACAACGGAGGACACTATTTGGGCCACAATACACATTATTCAATCCAAATCGAAACCTAAAAGCTCCACTAAACTAGTCCATCCGAACGGGGAAACCATAGATGAAAAAGAAGCACCAAAAGCACTAGCGCATGCTCTCTTCAAACTAACTGATAACCAACCAGTCATACAGTCGCCCATCAGTCAGTCACCTAGTCAATCAGCCCATCAGCTGGAGTCACAACCGAACAGCTGTCTAACACGAGACTCAAACCAAAACGAAACCCACACACCATCAGAACTGAACGAACCCGTGATAAGCAATGACCCAGCAGCGCCAGATATAACACCATCAGAAATGGAATACATCTTTAAGAATGTGAACAGTAAAAAAGCCCCAGGAAAAGACATGCTGAACTCGACAATATGTGAACAATTTAGACTACAAGAACCAGAACTCCTGAGAACCCTCTACCAGAAATGTCTTGACCTTTCTGTGTTCCCCCAATCCTGGAAAATATCCCAGATAATCCCCATCCATAAAGAAAAGAAAGGGCCAGCCTCTAACCCCAAAAACTACAGGCCAATAGGATTACTATCGCTGCTGGCAAAAGGCCTCGAAAAGATAATAAACAATAGGATAACCTACCACCTAATGTCAAATAACATTATACACCCTAATCAACATGGCTTCACACCAACAAAATCAACAATTTCAGCCCTCTCACTACTAATGCAGAAAATTAACCAATACAAAGCTACCTATCAATACTGTGCTATCCTAGCACTCGATATAGCGGGAGCCTTTGATAACCTACCATGGGATAAAACAATTGAACAAATGAAAGCCATCAACTGCCCTCAAAAATACAACAAAATCATGGACAATTACTTTAAGACAGACAGTACGAAATTATCTACGGAGAACAATCATACACTTTTACCCCCACTAAAGGATGTGTTCAAGGAAGCCCCCTGTCACCCACACTGTGGAATATCATTATAAATCCCCTAATAACTAAAGCCAGCACAGTCACCCATACCCAAGCGTATGCAGATGATATTGTCTTCCTGATAGGCGCAAACAGTGAACTGACTCTCAACAATAAGATCCAAAGCATAAACACAATAGCACAAGAATGGGCCAATGAGAACAAATTATCTTTTGCCATCGAGAAAACCGAGTTCCTAATACTGAGAGGAACACTCAATCACCCTATACAGTTAGGTAACACGCAACAAATCCTGAACCCTCTTAAAAGCATCAAAGTACTCGGAGTGACCATAGATAGGAAGCTCACATGGAAAGAGCATATCTCAAAGGTCATTATAAAAGCAACAATGATCCACAAAATAATGAATTCAATATGCCTGCGAGGAATGGGAGTGGATAGCAAATTCAGAAAGCTCTGTTATAACATGGTTTACATACCGACACTCCTGTATGGATGTGAAATTTGGCATACAGCTCTCAAATACAAAGACACAACAAGGAGACTTAGAGAAAACCAAAGAAAAATTCTGGTAAAAATAACTGGAGCATACAATCAAAGCAACCTAGCTGATCTGCTAACGCTAACAAATGAGACCCTGATCGATGCAAGAATAACTGCCACAGCTAGCAGATACCTACTAGCAAACAACATGAGCACGCAAATCGAATTCAAAACAGAAGGTTTTGAAATTGAAAGGAAGCTCTACCACTATGAGAACACCCAACCATGGAACTCCCCAAACCTGCGTAACATTATATCCACCAAAGAAATAAAAGAACCAATACAGCACAAACCAAACGAAATGTACACCTACACAGATGGAGCCTGTAACATCTATGGTACCGGAGCAGCGTTTGTAACATATGAAAACAACAAAGAAATAAAACAACGCAAAATCAAACTACACCAAACATGCACTAGCTTTCAAGCAGAAGCGATCGCCATACAAGAAGCAATAAAATTCTCGATTACCCACCATGAAAAAAGGCTGAAGAAGAAGGAACAACGACTACACTATCTAATACTTACAGATAGTAGAGCTGTTCTGCAAGCACTACTCGCCCAAAGAATCACGAACCCACTATTAAAAGGCATAACAACACTCATCCAAGAAGCGCTAAAAAAGAACATGAGGATTTCAATTAAGTGGATAAGAGGACACGAGAACCATCAGGGAAACCTCATAGCAGACTCGCTGGCAAAAGAAGCAATCCACTACAAAAAAAGCCCAATCTACGATGCGATATCACTCAACAAAATAAAGTGCACAACCAAGACATGGGCAAATGAGGAAACAAGAAAGTTCATAACACAGAATGCATCTAGAAATATGAAGGAACTGATTAATCCCACCGACATACTCTTCAGGCAAATCCCACACAGATACATAACCTGGTTTCTAACTGGCAAAGGGCCTTTCAAAACATATCTGAAAATGATCAAAAGAACTGCACAAGCCACATGTCAATGTAACAAAAGTGAACAAACGCCAAAACACCTCATCTTAGAATGCGAGATGTTCAACCAAAAAAGAAATGAAATAGCTGCACGCCACCCCCTAAACGCTAACTTCGTCGAACAAATGCTGTTAGACGAAGAAAAACTCTCAATACTCGAAAACTTAATAACAACAATAACAGAATGTCTGATACAACACGAAAAAGAACTAAAGAACACAGAATCGAATCAAAGCCCACCAATAGCTCAGTCAACCAGTCACAGTCACTCAGTCACACTAACATGACTAACATAAAAATCCCCACACCACAGCGCAAGCGCGAAAAACCAACGACTGAGTCAACTCAGAAAAGAACAGCTGATCTCAACGTGTTTTTCTCTCAAACCGCCAATTTTCCATAACCGCTTATCTTAATAATATTAATTTAAAAACAATTAACCTAATTAGCCCCGTGCCTTATATTTATAACATACCCAGTCCACTTTACCCTCATCAAAAATGGATAATGAAAAAAGTGTCCCAAGCCCGAAAAGCCCTAAAAGGCGACGTTCTCCCAGAACGAAACCAAGTCCTATTCTAAACCCTGATGGAGAATCACCAGATAATCAAGAACATGGAGTCGATTTGGAGGGAAGTGAACCACTATTTACATCAACTCAGGACCCGGATAAGCAGCCCCATGGAGCCAACCCGCCGCCCAAAAGAATGAGTGTCAACCTTTCAATGGACGAGGAACTATACAACCAGATATACGAGAGGAAATTGAAAGAATTCAACGAAGCTGATGAAGCTGGTAAATCTCTCCTTGTTAAAAGAACACTGCCATCATACATGCATAGCTTCTTTGACGAGGTCTTCACAGATAGGTTGGATCAGCATGGTTTTATGATTGAGAACCCTCTAAATCGTAAAGTAATTGAACTTCAGACAAATAAAATGGAGCTTCACATCCTAACAGCGATCCGAAGATTTAAGTCTACCTTCTCAAAGGACGGTGAATCACCAGGAGTAGACGAAGCTGACCTAGATCAATCAGTCCTGAATGCTGGCGACCCCGAACAACCAACAAATAACTCAACCGAAAAAGATCGTTCTCTACTAGCTGACGAGGAAGACAACAACAAGGAAGAGGAAGAAACGACACCACCAAAGAAAACCAAAAAGAAAGGCAAGAAGAAGAAAGAAGTGAAAAAGAAGAAGAAATCAAAGAGACACTCCAGCAGCCAAGAGGAAGAGGAACAATCCAGTCAATCTGAGCTGAGCGACAATAGCGAAAAGGAAGAAAGCGACAGCGATGGTGAAGAATCAAAAGAGGTGAAAAAAGAAGAAGAATATGAGCCCAGTATCTACGTCGGTAAATTTGGCATCTGGGATAAATCGCTATATAAAGATGGTGTAAGAAGAAAGAAGAAGCAAGATGAAATAACAGTTAGAAGGTGTATAACTGTCCCAAAGTGCGGTTACCTGGAAACTGGAACATCTTACAATCTTGAAAGACATGCTGCCAACAACCACCCTGAAGATGAACCAAGATCTGAGTCTACATACATGACAACAACTGAATTCGCTAAACTCAAAGCAAAGTTTGACCAGGAAATCAAAGCGAAAGAGATTGAGAAGTCTATTCGGATAAAGTTAGAGAAAGACAGAAAGATCAAGAAAAATAAAAAGACAACAAAACGCAAAAGACGGGTCCCATCATCCTCAAGCTCAAGCTCTTCTAGCTCTGAATCAGAATCTGAATCAGATTCTAATAAGAAAAAGAAAAGACATAGCAACAAAAAGAAAAGAACCAAATAAAATCAACGCTAATTACACCAACACAACACAACAACAACACACACCCAGTCACCCAGTCACCCAGTCATCCTTCACCCAGCCAATAATTCCCCAAAACCTCAATATAAGAACATGCGCACTTCTCACTAATACGCTGCTGCCACCTACTTCCTCCTTACAAGTCAATAGCGTTTTTAATGTCAATGTGTTGGTTAACCTCTATCTCTACCTTTTATTATCGTGTATTTTTATACCTTTTTTACTTTCCTTATTACCAAAATTAGTATTGTTAAACGATCACTAACCACTCTAGTGCCAATCTCAACTCTTCGATCTCAACAATTACAATTAACAAGCGAATCGAACCGAATTATACTCTCCCTGTGAAATGGCAAAAGAAAAAGCCAACTCTGCGCTTCTTAGGAACTACATGTGGGATAACGACTACGAGAGACAAGAGTGGCAACACATCATAGATAACTGTGATGAGCGAACTGTCAACTTTATGAACAATTTGTTAAGTGGAAGAGCCGAAGCAAAAGTTCGTCTCCGACATTTTATTGATCCCAACTTTTACCACGGTGCCCCAGACTGCTTCACATGGCCATACAATGAGAACCCTGACATAAATGAATACAAAGCAACGTTACAACGCAACATAATTGCATTAAAAGCTGCAATTAAGGAGATTGAAGGGAACAAGAAAAGGAAATCTGCCTCGTTCGTTAAAATAGATGAAGTTAACAAGAAAGCAAAGCCCTCACCCCCAGAGCCGAAATCCAAAAAGAAACCTGGGACAACGATAGAGAAAATCTCTCCTATCAAGAGTAAACCCTCAACATCCAAGGCTATTATGGTAGAACAAAACAAGCTAAACAAGTCACCAAGTAAAGCTAAGCATGGTAAAGAGAAATTCAATCTGAAAGTCAGTCCACAGAAAGTCTCGCTTAACATACCAAGAGTTAGCATACCTGAGTTGGGAGCTCCAAGTTCACCTAAGCTACAAATCCCTGATCAATCTTCAACCTCGAAACCTGCCTTCAACATGCCACTCATTACAACACAACCTGACTCCCAGCAAAGTGATCCTGAACCTGAACAACAGGTGGGAGACGAGACGGGTCACGATCTCACAGTGGACTCACCGGCCTCCTACCCCGATTCGGAAGAAGAAGAGGATCCTAACAACACAAAGCCTGCAGCACCAACAACCTCAACA